CTCCTTGGAGAGAACAATCATGGGAGACAGCTCAGGGGGCAGGAGGGCATGGAGGGATGGACAGAGGGAAGAGGTAACTATCGGGAGGAAGTGGGAGGGGAGCTGTTGCATTGCAGTAAATTGTAGTCAGTGTCATGAGACAAAGTGTATGTGAACTACTGTACAGAAAGTGAATTTGCTCTGTATATTTTCATCCAAATCACAAAGAAAGAAAGAAAGAAAGAAAGAAAGAAAGAAAGAATATATGGTACAGCAAAAAAAAAAATAAAAGATTTCCAGCCTATTGGGCAGTTCCAGCCTACAGGGTTGCTATGAGTCAGAATCGACTCGATGGCAGTGGGTTTGGTTTGGGAGTATGGCAATAAATAGTTATTAACCAATATGTTTTTTAGATAAAAATCAGGATATTTCTACATCTTATTTATCATATTTATACCTCAAAATAGGCAAAGTCACCAGCTTACATTGAATTAAATATATAGTTGTGTTTACTTTGAAAAAGAATAACATATTAAAATTCTGAAATAATTAAAGAAAAAAATGATAAGGAATTATTAACATTACAGAATTTCACCTTTAGTTAATCTAAATATATGTGTATTTCCCAGAGCAGGATCTGTAACTATGCAACTATGACTATGGGGACACAGAAACCATAAATTACAAACTTCTTCAGAACAGGAATCATGTCTTACTCATATAAATACAGAGAAAGTGCCCAATAAACTGTTGCTTGAATTTGATAACAGGGATGACTGAAGAAAAATATAGGACTCTGAAATTATTCTTAGAAAAATAAAATTACAGACTACCAAAGAAGCTAACCTTAACTGCAATACAGTCATATAAAAAGAATGACATTCAGCTATATATACTGATATGGGAAAATGATCAGTATGTTTTTATTAAGTGCAATAAGGAAGCTGCTGAGTAATATAGACAATTTTATTTGTTTTCTAAGAAACTAGGCTTATAAATGTATAACTCACAGTTTAGAAATTTTTAACAGCTATATCTTTGAGGAGGAAAGGGAATGAAGTAGGAGGTTAATTTTTTACAATGAAGTCATAATACTTTTATCATTTTAAACAACTACATAATGAAAGGTAATTTACAGATCACTTAGTTCAACCCTCTCATTTCTGAGGTGAAGAAATATGCTCAAAGAGATAAACTCATTTTTTTTCTTTTTATTTAGTGTTCCATTAACATTGCTATATTAATTATCTCTATATTAACAAGACATTTTTAAA